GCATGGAGGTGGCTTGGAGAAATGTCTACACGTGTTTTTGTTTGTTTGTTTGCTTCTTGATTATCGCTTGTTCTCGTTTTAAACATCACACATCTTGGTGGCCTTTTATTTAGAATTTGTGCTCCTGGTGGAAGATAGAATGCAAGCAATGGCCCAGATAAAACTGCATTTTTCGCACATTTAAAAAAAAAAACCAACATGCCCAGCCCTAACCGGTGCGGCTCAGTGGATAGAGCGCCGGCCTGCAGACTGAAAGGGTCCCGGGTTCGATTCCGGGCAAGGGCGTGGACCTTAGTGGCGGGCACATCCCCAGTGGGGGGTGTGCAGGAGGCGGCTGATCAATGATTCTCTCCCATCGATGTTTCTAGCTCTCTACCCCTCTCCCTTCCTCTCTGTGAAAAATCAATAAAATATATTTTTATAAAAAATAAAAATGAGTTAAAAAACAAAAAACATGCCCGGCCCATTTTGTTTTTGCATTTATACCATATGTGTGTGTATGTGTGTGTATGTGTATGTGTGTGTGTGTATGTGTGTATGTGTGTATGTGTGTGATGTGTGTATATGTGTGTGTGTGTTGTGTGTGTGTTGTGTATGTGTGTATGTGTGTGTGTGATGTGTGTGTGTGTGTGTTTCCATTAAACCTTTGATTTTTGTATTGAACGATGATCACACCGAGTATGCAGGCTTCCCCTTGGGGAGTCTCTTTTTTTAAAAAAAATTCCCATTTTCTGTTTTAATGAATAACGTATTTCAGTAATAGGTAGAGGAACTACATTAAAAACAAACAAACACCATTTTCTTTTTCAGAAAAACATCGGACTGAATTCCTTAAACGTCCATACACGGACGGATCCCTTGAAAGACTAAGTGATGAACCCCTGGTGCACGCCCGCTGCTTCGTTCAGATGTGGTCTCTGCCCTGGCCCGTGTGGCTCCGTGGATAGAGCGCCGGCCTGCGGACGGAAGGGTCCCGGGTTCGATTCCGGTCAAGGGCACGTGCCCGGGGTGGTGGGCTTGGGCCTCCACGGGCAGTCAGACATCCCTCGAGGGGTCCCAGATTGGAGAGGGTGCAGGCCGGGCTGAGGGACAATCCCCAACCCAACCCCCCCCCTCCCGTGCACGAATTTCGTGCACTGAGCCTCCAGTAAAATAAATAAATAGATAAAAAGCATGTCCTCCCATGAGGGGGATTGAATATTTTCCGTTTTAAATAAAGGATAAATGCGCACAGGTGTGTATTCAGGGACTCGGATGGAGCGGAGGAGGGAAAGGAACTCTGTGGGTCATCGCTTGGCGGGGCGAGTGTGGTCCAATTCCCCCAAACCTCTCTGGAGGAGACGGGCGAGGTCAGGGGAGAAGGATGCCCCCGTCACATCTGCCCGGTCCCCACCCCCACCCCCTGCCGTGCGGTGGCACCCGGAAGGCTCCGCCCGCGGCGGCCAGCTGGGCGGCGTTACCTGGGGGCACGTGTAACTCCACGGTTTTGTTGCCGGCGCAGGACGGGTGGGACAGGAGGCCGAGGACGGCCTGGCATTCCCGGAGGCCTCCGCATGTCGATGCAGGGCGCGACAGGAAAGGGCATGTCAGGGTGCCCACGGCATCCACGTCTGCACGGAACTCCTCGGTGGCGTTGTCATAGCGGTAGGTCACGCTGTCGCTGTCGACGTGTGCGAATCTGGTCCCTGAAAGAACATGGCGCGGGGGGATTATTGCGTTTTTTTCCAGAGAAAATACGCCCCCCTCCACGCACACCCCTGCGCGATCCAATCCCCCAGGAACAGAGGGTCAGAGGGTGTAACACCCCACGCCCCACGGCTGCCTGCACCCCCCTCCACAGCCTCGCCCCGGACCCCGGCTTGCAAGTTCCCACGGGACGAGGTAGTGGGGGGATTGGGTTCATGTCTGTCCTGCTCTCCGGCCTGTGCCCCCCACGAGGGCCAAGGCCAGTCTGTGGGGGACGTCATCGCCCCTAATCCAGGTCCCTCCCCCTCCCCCTACAACCTGCCACGTGTCGGGGGCCTGGCCGTGACGGGTTCCCGCTTATCCTGACCACGTGGTGGCGTGTCACGGACGGTTTTCCAGACCGTGTTGATTTTTTTCCCTCTTTCGTGCTCAGGAGCCCAGGGGTAAGGGACAGTTAGGGTCGGGGCCCCGGGTCTGTAGGGTTAAGGTTTGGGGAGAATCACGGCTGGGGTTCTTGGGCCCTTGGCCCAAAGAAGGAAATAGCGGAGGTAATATTTAATAAAAAAAAAATAATAATAATTTTCTGAGCCCCCCCCCCCAGCTCTCCCCCGGGGGGGAGGGGGGACGCGAACTTACCACATGGCTGCTGAGTTGTAGTCGGAGCTGTCACGGAGAAACAGAACAGACACAGAATTCACGTTAGAATTTCTCGGCCACGGCCACCAGGGGGCAGGGCGGGGGCCGTGGATCCCGCCGGATCCGAAGCACGAAGGCCAGCGATGGGGCCCGAAACGCAAGATGGCCATCCCCGCGTGGGCGGGTCCCCTCACGCGTCTCCGTGAGTTCGCCCACGGGATCACGCCCGCCACGGGGGTCACGTGACTATCGGAGCATTTTCGCTGCCCAAACTCCGCCGGGGCCCCCCCCCTTGATTTCCCTCCAAGCAGCGCTCCGCCGTTACTAGAGGCCCTGGCGCACGGAATTCGTGCGCGGGCAGGGTCGCTGGGCCTGGCCGGCGCTCAGGGCCGGTCAGGATCTTCCTTCGTTCCACGCTGCCCCCATCATAACGAGTGATCGGACTTCCCGAGGGGACCCTTTTCCATCGACACCGATAAAAGAGAAAGATGATGCAAATGGGCCGCCCCTCTGCGACGCCCACCAGCCCATCAGGGGTGAGCATGCAAATTAACCCAACAAAGATGGCGGGCTCATTTGCATACGCAGGCACTGATCGGCGGCGGGGGGGGGGGGATGCTTGTGTCATCGCCATGGCAACGACAAAGGCCTTCCTCACTGCCCCAGCCTCTCGGGGCCTCTGGGCAGGGTGGGAAGGTGGGGCTGGAGCCAAAGGAGGCAATGCTGGCAGCCAGGGACAGGAAGGCCCCTTCCTGCAGGAATCTCCGTGCATCGGGCCTCTGCTTTATAGATAACCTCCAGACGCGTTTGTTGGGGGGAAGGAAAAATCAGAAACTAGCCAAAACCGGTGCGGCTCAGTGGATGGAGCGTCGGCCTGCGGGCTCAAGGGTCCCGGGTTCGATTCCGGTCAAGGGCATGGACCTTGGTGGCGGGCACATCCCCAGTGCGGGGAGTGCAGGAGGCAGCTGGTGGATGTTTCTCTCTCATCGATGTTTCCAGCTCTCTATCCCTCTCCCTTCCTCTCTGTAAAATGTCAATAAAATATATTTAAAAAAAGGAGAACAGCCGTCCTCTGCTCGCCTACGTTTCCATCAGAAACATGCCTCCCGGGGGGCGGGGTGGGGGCTACCCCAGGCACCCACGGGCTAGGCATCCTCCGGATGCTCGGCCCCGCTCCCTGGTCCCGTCGGCTGCCGCGCCCGCCATTCCTGGGGCGGACGGCCCTCCACGGAACTCCTCCACGGAGCCCCCCCACCCCCGTGAGCGTGCCCGGGCGGCGTGGGTGCGGGTGCGGGTGCGTGGCTGCGTGCCTGGGGGTGAGGGTGTCACCTGTGCTGGTGGGGATTGCCGTGAGGCTCTGAGTGGGTGCTGAGGTGTGAGTCGTGGGGACCAAACCTGCAAGGAAACGGACAGAAGAGGGAGCGTTAACGGGTTTGCCAGGTCGGAGGGCGAGGAGGGGTCCCCGAGACACCCCAACTTCGTGAGGGGGGGGGGCTCCTCCTGTCCCTGGACGCTCGCTCGATTTCTTTCCAAATAAGATTGTGGGCCAACGATGTAGCTACACGTGGGCCTTGGAGAGCCACTAACAGGACTGCCGGCCGGCGGGGCTCAGGGGCTGAGCATCGGCCTGGGAACCAGGAGGTCAGGGTTCGATTCCCGGTCGGGGCACAGGCCCGGGTGGCGGGCTGGATCCCCAGTGGGGGGCGTGCAGGAGGCAGCCGGTCCAGGAGTCTCTCTCCTCATGGATGTTTCTATCTCTCCCTCTCTCTCTCTCCCTACCTCTCTGAAATCAAATTTATTTATTTTTTTAAGAAAGAGAGAGAGAGAGAGAGAGAGAGAGAGAGAGAGAGAGAGAGAGAGAGAGAGAGAGTGCCCTAATGGGTGTGGCTTAGTGGATAGAGCGTCAGCCTGCGGACTGAAAGCTCCCGGGTTCAATTCCGGTCAAGGGCATGGACCTTGGTGGCGGGCACATCCCCAGTGGGGGGCGTGCAGGAGGCAGCGGATGGATGTTTCTCTCACATCGATGTTTCTAAGTCTCTATCCCTCTCCCTCCCTCTGTAAAAAATCAATATAAAAAATTAAAAAGAGAGAGAGAGAGAGAGAGAGAGAGAGAGAGAGAGAGAGAGAAAGCACTCATAGTCTCCATAACTGGAACTCGGTGGGGTAGAGGCTGAGAGCCAGGCACCCATTGCTCCCTCGGGCTCCTCCCTGGCGTGAGGTCCTCAGCCTCCTCCCCTCTCCCTCAACTATGATCACCCGTCACCATGCCAGTTCCTCTCCGGTGCTTTGCCTTCCCTGCCAGGCTTTCTACACCCTCCGTCCTATTAACAACCACGGAGAGCACCACTGTACCCATTTCACAGGCGGGAACACTGAGGCCCAGGAAGTCCGCCATGGAGGCCGAGGAGGCTGGGCTGGTTTCCGGGGCCTCCACGCCCGAAAGGCTCTTACCTCCTCCCTTCTCTGCCGCGAACGTCCATAACAAAAACAACAATAATAAGAAGAAAATGGGAGAAAAAAAAAACACGCCCGGGAAAGGTCCCCTGGCCTGAGGCTCCGTGTCTCCGGGGGACACGGGTGACGTTTCTGTGTGGTTGTCCATAACCCGGACCCCTCCCCCCCCCCCCCCCCCCCGCCGACCCCGGTGCCCGGTCCCACCTGAGGAGTTGTGGGTGCCCTCAGGGGTGCGTGCGGGTGAGGCAGCCGCCGGGCTGCTGAGTGTGGGGCTGGGGGCGCCTGCGGGAGAGGGGGCGGCCGTGGCCGCCGTCGGGGCACCTGCAATCAGAAAGGCCGTCAGCGCCCGTGGCCGGCGGCCGGCATGGCCGGGAGGAGGGGGGCCGAGCCACGTGTCCACCCACCCAGCCACCCATCCATCCATCGCTCCCGGGGGCCCCACCCCAGACGCCTTCCACCGACAACTCCCCCACGTCTGCCCGTATGTCATCATCTCAGTTAATTTTTTAAAAATGATGTGAATGGCCCGGCCAGCGAGGCTCAGGGGCTGAGCATCGACCGAGGAAGCAGGAGGTCAGGGTTCGATTCCCGCTCAGGGCGCAGGCCCGGGTGGCAGGCACGACCCCCAGGGGTGGGCGTGCAGGAGGCAGCCGGTCTGTGATTCTCTCTCCTCGGGGATGTTCCCCTGTCTCCCTCTCCCTTCCTCTCTGACATCCATACAAATAGACTGAAAGCCCTAGCCAGGTTGGCCCAGTGCATTGAGCATCGGCCTGCAGACTGGGAAGGTCCCAGGTTTGATTCCAGCCAAGGGCACAGGCCCGGGGGGGCGGGCTCCATCCCCAGTGGGGGGCGTGCAGGAGGCAGCCGGCCCATGATTCTCTCCCATCGTGGATGCTTCTCTCTCTCTCTCTCCCTTCCTCTCTGACATCAATTAAAATCTATCTATTGTTTTTAAATGCCAATGTTACCCTAACCGGTGTGGCTCAGCGGACAGAGCATCGGCCGGCGGACTCAGGGGTCCCAGGTTTGATCCCGGTCAAGGGCACAGGCCAGGTTTGCGGGCTCCATCCCCAGCGTGGGGCGTGCGGGAGGCAGCCGATGGGTGAGTCCTTCTCATCATGGATGTTTCTCTCCCTCTCCCTCTCCCTTCCTCGCTCTTTAAAATCAATTTTTTAAAAAATAAGACAAGTTCCCCTCCTCTCGTTTCGGGGGGCACGGGTCCAACCTGCCACGTCCGTCTGGCTGGCATTCTCCGGGGGGCTGGGGGGTGTCTCTGTGGGGGGGACCCCGGTGGTGCCAGGCGCTGGCGCAGCCGCTGAGGGGCCGCGGCTCTCGGGCTCGGAGGTGCTTGCGGGTGAGAGTTGCGTGGTGCGGGCGGGTGGGCGGGCAGGAGCGGGCGGAGCGGTGGGCATCCCCGTCGGGGTCTGTCCTGTGACGTCACGGGAGACGGAGGAGGAGGAGGAGGAGGAGGAGGAGGAGGAGGAGGAGGGGGAGGAGAAAACACACAGATGAGAGACCTCGCTCAGGGGAGTCTCGTACCTTCCCAGCCATCGGGCTGCGTGAGTATTTGATCGCTCCCTCCCCCCTCCTGTCTGAAATCGATCATTTAAAATCAAATACACGGCCGAAACCGGCGTGGCTCCGTGGATAGAGCGTCGGCCTGCGGACGGAAGGGTCCCGGGTTCGATTCCCGGTCCAGGGCATGGACCTTGGCGGCGGGCACATCCCCAGTGGGGGGCGTGCAGGAGGCGGCTGATCCATGACACTCGCTCTCATCGTGGATGTTTCGGTCTCTCTCTCTCCCTCACCCCTCCTGTCTGAAATCAATAATCTATATATTATATTATATTAATTAAATGCCTCTCCTGCAGAGGCAGGAGTGTTTGGTGGGCCCGGCTCCTTGTTTTCGGTGTGAGAAATGAGTGTTTATTTCGTTACGGCGACGCTGCCCTTCACAGCCCAGTTCTCAGAGCCCCACGAGAAGGGCTCGTTCTAATCGTTCACTCAGAGTGGCCTGGGGCCTCGCCTCACCTTCTTCATTCCTGCCGTCCGCCTCGCGACGGACCGGGAAGTCAATGGCGCATTTTCAATAACCGGTAACGCTTCAGGGGTGCCACCCGAGGTTCCTTTCGGACTTGGCGCGTAGTAGGTGCACATCCCCCCTCCCCCGAATGCGGCCAGAGGTTCCTCCCTCATCTGGCGCGTAGTAGGTGCGCACTTATTTTCAGCCGCCACGTGGCTTAGCGTTGAACTTGCCCCAGGCTGGGGATGCTCCGGGGAGGGGATGCGTTTGGAAGTGACGGGGGCCTCATCCCGGGAGGCTCAGCATGTTCCGGGCGGAACGTATGTGCCGAGCACCCTTCTGTGTAAAATCCCCTCCCGTGTTCTCGGAGAATGCCTTCCCCCGTTTTTGATGACTCTGACGCTCTGTGGTCGAGCCCGGTGTGTCCGGAGCGTTAGAACCGAAAAGGAGAGCGGAACCCCGCCCTGGGGTCCAGAAACGCTGGATTCTACACGCGATGAAGATGCACACAGAGAGCAGGCGTGTGAGGAACAAGAGAGCGTTCTGTCCGGGAGCGGGGGCCCTCCCACAGAGATTCCACCGGGGGGGCGTGAGGGGGGAATTCTCTCGGCGTTAACTATACACACACGGCCACGACAGAATAAAATAAGCAAAGGGGGAAGATGCATTCTTACCGATCGTAGGAGCATTGGTTTCATTTC